AGGCAAAAGGATTCAAAGAAAACTTCTAGCTTACAAAACAAAACTGTAAATATGAAAGATGAGTGACATTTCTCAAAAGAGACCCTTGTATTTTCATCTGCTATTTGTCCCTTTAATATAGTGCACTGGAGCTCTCTAAAGATTAATGGAGTTCCAATTACATGCCACTGTTGTTTCACTTATCATAATTTGTACATGGCAGTGAGAGGCCCTGGTAGTCATGACTTTCCCAGTTTACCCAGAGGGAATATCTTTGGAACTTCCCACTTCTAGCAAACAGGCAGCACTCAGTGCAATGATTCAGGCTGGCCACGTGAAGGTAGGCTGTGACAAAAAGCTGGCTGTCACCACTGAGGCCTCAACTGGTGCTCCCACGCTTTGTTATGGTCAGCTAAAAACTGTAATTAGAAATAGGAACATTTCAGCTTCTCCTGTGTATTACACCTGGGCTGCATTGTGGCTGCAACACTGATAGAGAGTTGATACATAAATAGAAACCTGCTTCCTATGCCAGCTGGAGATGAATTTTACATTTTTGGTTCCTGGTACATTTTTGGAAATTATGCATGAACATGGAATGAATCCCTTTTTTTGCTGTTGTTTTTTAACTGATTTCTTTCCAGGTTAAGAATTCATCAGTGCTTCTTGATTTGAATGTTCTGAATAGTTCTGAATAACAACATTACTTGTTGTTGCAATATCTAATACTTGGTGTAAAATCCTCTTGATGTCTGATTACTCTCCATAAGGACCTCATGCTGATTCATTTCAAACCGTGAATTACCTTTAATTCATAGCTTGCACATGCTGCCAAATTTTGTTTTCTATGTTCCCAGGTGGCTGTCCCTGACACAGAGGAGATCTTCCAAAAAGCCATTAGATACTTATGAAAAGTATTTAGATGTCGAGAAGCACATTTCCATTTGCAAACACACTTCCATCAAGTATTATGATAATATTTGGGATTAGGAAAGTACTGGTATTTATTTGCATTTTTTTGGAACTGTGAAGTGAAATCCTGGCCCAACTGAAAGCAGTGCTGAACACACTTAAAAAAATCCTTGCTGAAATATCACAAAAAGATTTTCAGCTGCTTGCTTTAGTTTTAAGCTCCCTGTATTTAGCTGCTCACTACTCCACACACAGGTTGTGTACCATTAACTATGATGGATAACAAAAACTCCATAAAGATAAAACAAGTTGGTTTTGTCTGATCTATAAAAATGTGCTGCTCTAAGTTTTTAATGGTTTCCGGTAGTTCACTGAGCCCATGAGAAGGGCCTTTTAATACTGTATTAATACAGTAAGTATAGGAAGTAATTTTATGACAGGGGAAGAATACCATTATGATTACATTCTTCTTTTTAGCTAGGCTTTTATGGAAACTACCCAAGACTACTCTGCAGTATGATTTCAAAACACAGGATGTGCTTGATTAAAAAGGTTCTGGGTAGTTTCCAACTGGACAAAGGCCAAATGCTAACAACCAAAACAGAACAAAAGGACTGGATGTTTGAGGATGACATACTTGCAATGGCAATTATATAACAGAAACCCAAGTCATGAGCTGAGTCCGTCCCCTCAAATTCATGGAAGCTGACAGAAAATCCTTTGCAGTGCAATTGGTTGCACCTTATCTGTTTCTGCTTACTCTGCTTCATAATAAACTAATCACAGCAGACTGGCTGAAAACTGACCACACAATGCCCAGCGGAGATTTACAGTGAATTTGAAATTACAAAAAGGGAAACCAAGTGCTGCAGTTTTACATAGCCTGATTTCAGCTGTAAAAATTCACCACAGTACACGCACATGCATGCACATCAGTTTTCAAAATTTCATTTTCAAGATTTTTGAGTGCAACTTAGGAGCTGAGGTTAGTTATAAGTCCATGTTCTCATGTGCATAGGTGCAGAATTTAGAAAAAATCCTAACTATTCTAGCTTCTATTTTACTCACTGCACTGGGGACTGGGTTTATTCAGCATGTGGATGTAACAAACATTATAAAAAGGAGCAGGAAATTTGCATTTCAGAAAGCTCTACTTGGCCAAGAAACCATGCATCTTGCATCCCTCTACAATAGCAACACATTGGTAAATTAATCCATCTTGGAGTATGTCCTCCTCACTTTTTCCCCAGAAGCATGCACTTGAGAAGTTATCTTGCAAAAATTATTCATCCCTTTAGTCTGGTCTTCTATGACCCCAATGTCCCTACAGCTGAACCCTGCAATGACACACAGACAGCTTGGCTGCTGGAGCAGGATGCAGCATCATAAAGGTAAAGTATCTCTGTGCTGCATTCAGCCCTCAAGTAGTCATGGTATAACTCAGCAATATGGTAAATGCAAGCACAGTATTACCAACTCCTTTGGATCTCTAACAATGCCAGTGGAATCTACAGGACCGTCACTATGACCAATATAAATGGAAAAGATAATTTAAGTTTCACTTAAATTGCACATGAACTTAAAAAAGTTGGGTAACAGCTAGAAACATATCCAGGTCAAACGGACTCTAACAAAGCATACAGATGAACAGAGTCAAATTCAGCCAGATTTGATCAAACTGAAATATGGATGACAGATCCTATTGACAAAATATGTAATTGGTGGGGGATAGAGTTTTGAAGTCAGTAAGACCATAGTGTGTGGCTGAGAGCGTAGCAGCAGATGTTACTGGGGATAAGCTGGACTGTCATTTCACTCATACACTGCAATATCCCCAAAACCCACCAGTGTTAGAGAGACTAAATCCTCCTTTATACAACTGCAATCTGATAAACACTCTATCATTAAAATACACAATGACTGCAGGAGCTGCCTGCCTCTCAGGGTTTGTTTGGACTGCACTATCCAGCTCTCCTTGATACCATTACATCTTTCTGTCCCACTCCTGCTTTAATTTCATTATGTGCTCAAGTACTGCAATTCCCCATGAAGGTGCTGGTAACTGCACACACAGATCTAAAGAAACACATTGGCCTCGTAATTCCAAGCCTCACAGTGGACTGCCTTCTAACCTCCCAAAGCCCTGTGGAAATTCTTAGAAGCTGCCTTAACAATTTTTCTGCAGTAAAAGAGAAAAAGTGATAGTAATGGGTTAGCTGATCTTCATTTGGAAGCTAAAAATAAAAGTAGCTTTATTGCAGCTCTGATCTCTCATGTGTAAAATCTATCACCTACCGTAAGAAGGCAGTTCATTGCAGCAGAAATCTGATTGATAGTACTGGAACTTTAGATCAAGCAGCAGAACAGAGAACAACTGGTTCATAAAATGTACTCAGTGTCTTCGGGTTTTATATCAGGCTTCCTATAGAGAGCTTTGGTCCCATTAAATGCACTATATACCACTGAGCTCTGAAGCACTGTTCTTTTGAAATTCGGCTTATAACTATAAACCATGATTGACAAGTCTATTACTGTTGGTTACAAACTATTGAAATATTGTATTTTATGGTACACTCACTAAAATATTTTTCACAGTGGAATCCAAATACATTTGCTTTTAGAGAAAAATAATTTTAAGATGCAATAATATTTTTTCCTTTATTTTTTTATTATGGAATGTGCTTGATGCTAGATTTGGATCCCTTTGACATTCTGAAACATGAATGCACCCATCCTGTTACCAAGAACTGTGGGTACAGTTGGCTAGAGTCTTCACAAAAAAACAAGTCATTACTGGAAGCCAAACAGCAAAGGGCAAAAATTAATTTGTTACTAAGTTTAAGAAATAAATGCTATTCATACAAATTAATCTAAATATCATTAGCATTCCTATCCAATTCTAATTTAATCTGAAAAAAACTATTTAATTTTAAAATTTGATCATTTGCTCGGCCACAGTTTTGTAAAGGTTTACTCAACAAACTGTATTTGAATGAGCACTTCCATGACTTGAGTTTATGGGCGAAGAACTGGACCTTCAGAGCCTGCTGAGTACATGAACAGATTCAGCACCCACATCTACACTAGTCCTGTACCTCTCACACAGTCACAGACACATCACTGAACTCCAACAAGACCTCTTGTGTACACTAACTTGCACTAAAAATCAGTATATTTTAATTCATTTTTAAAACTTGCCTAGATATCTCCACATTAATTTTTCTTCCTCTATAGGGATTTTTAAAATTGTGTCTTTAGTAGATTAAGGGCAACCACTAGAATAATTTTGAACTAATTTTAAATGAACATATTGTATTTACACAACTGTCAGTTAAACTAGTGCAGTTCTGCATTCAGTACTTTAGAAGACTTAACACTAAAAAACCCAGCAGCTCTGAACTGAAATCAGACCCATACATTTTCATAAGTATAAAACAAAGGCCTACTGTTCAAAGTTGCTATTTAGCTCCTGTTTGCAAATTAGAGAACCTGGGATAAAAGAAAAAACAATTCCTTCTCCACTCACTGCTACACTACTGCAGCCTTACACCAGAGAAGCACCAAGGAAAAATGGTCTAACACAATGGAGAATTAGCTCTTTCACAATTTTCAACTGTCACATTTACAGATCATCTATGATTTTCAGCTGTTTCAAAGTGTATGAAACTCAAGACCAGCGTTTCAACACCAGCTAGCAGAATCATTCTGTATGATGTGTTTTACTCTCTCTCACTGTATGAATGTAAAAATTCCTGCATCATCTGTTCATTGGGTTGCATTTTCTATTGTAAGAGGCTTAGTATCTGATGAGAGAAGCATAAAAGTGATTTAATTTTGGCAAGCTGTAGAACTAAAATCAGCATTATTTCTGCTTAATAAACTCATCTTTCACACATACCTCTGTTAGCTAATGCTTAAAAAGAAGAAACAGTAATAAGCATTGGAAACATAAAACTGGTTTATGGCTAATTTTTAAGGACTACAGAGAACACCTGAACACCAGGACAAGATTATGAGCAGAGCTAGGTTTTAGTTACCTTTGGAGAAATAAGCTCATGCTTTATGATAAATTTAAAATGAGATTTAAAGCTGGAAATAATAATACTTACGACTTTTGTGGCACTGACTTAGTTGCAACTTTCCCTGCTGGATCACTCCACTCTGCAAACAAAGGAAACACATTTTCAAATGTCAAAAGATTACTGTAGAATTAAAATGCACCCAAAGCTGTCAGCCCATCTAATTATACTTGGTTTCACAACATGCCACAATGCATAACATGTAATAAAAAATGGAACTGATCTGCTTTAGCACCACAGAAATTAATTTTTTAGCCTTTGTTTTAATGATGTTAAGCAGACAAAAAAAAATACCCAACCCTGACTGTTAGGACTAGGATGATAAAGACCTACTTTGTACATTGTATCCTGAGGTCAGATGTTGGGAGTCCTACAAAGAAGAACACACAAAATGTCAGCATTAGTTAAATAAGATGAAGAAGGTAAGATATATCTTGGCTTGCTAGATTAAGGGCACTGGCACAATACCAACAGGGAAGGGATGGCACAGGAAGGGATCACAGCATTGTTAAGGCAGCACCAGTGACATTAGTTTAAAAAAAGCATTAACTGTGGAGACAGAGCACCACAGAGGGACCCTTCAGAGCTCAGGCAGGAGCATGTCCTCAGCTGCTGTAAATCTACACCCCCCTTTATGGAGACACCTCACAGATTTACACCCACAGCAGCCCCAGCCTTCCCCAGGCTTGGCCATGGATGTGTGCAGGAGCCATGCAGGATGCACAATTTAGAACACAGCATGAATGCAGCTATGCATTAAATTCAGTGCCATTGCCTTTCTGTTGTTTGATCTCACTGCCTGGAACTACAGTAACCTTTTATTGGGAGTCACTGTTTTTATTTGGACTGTGACACACGGGATTTGATAAAGACACAGGAAGTAGATCTTCACCTGATGGAAATTGGTCCAAATCCAATGAAATCAATGGAAGTACAACAACTTAAAACCAGCAAAGAGTCTGGCTTGCAATAGTGAGCATGCTAATGCCAGGATTCTTGTTGGTTAATAATTATTAAGCTGTTTCTTTAATGTTACAGTGTTTTCTGGCTTAGTTTTTCTCTAGGCTCTGTAGTCCACAGTGATTGTCATCAGCTTTCCTTCCAAGCTGAGTTTGATCAGTTGAAATTAAGGTGTTATTTACAACCTCATCCTACAGCCAGGCACTACTTTGCTGGAAGTGTTAGTTCTGTAGGATGTTAAAGTCATTAAAGCCCTCACTGCACTTCCTCTTAGGGCATTATTAGTTCCTAATATTATATTGTGCTGTCAATCAGTCCCTTGTGAAGTAAATAATGCCCTAAGAGTAAACATGGCACTTTAAATTTGAATGTCAAAGGGATAAGTTGTTTTGATAAGCTCCACCTCTTTTATCACACTTTTAAAATGTATGTTTCTCATGAGAATACCTTTATTTTAATAGCTAAATTGAAAACTTCTAACAGTGCCTGTCTGGTTTATATGGTTGCACAACCTAGCCATATTATGTCCTAGATGCATAATTTGGCTAGCCATAATTGATTTAAAGTGATGTTCTGAAGAGACATTTCTGTTGTATTTTTTAAAGTAAGACTAGCAAACATGAAAATATTTATGTGATTGCCTATTTCCTGCAATGCTAGCTCAAAAAAAAATCTAATTTATATTTTGTATTGAAGTGATATGGTCAAGAATTTGAGGATCAACATTTAATGTGCCCAGAAATTACCTTTGATGTGGATCTTAAAAGTTCAAAGCCAAATTGATAGAAACAGAAAAGCAAACCCAAAATTTTAGCTTCTCTGAACCTCTGCTTATACTGCTACCAATGGAGATAGTGTCAGTTGAACCCTTTAAGGTGAACTGTGTCAATACAGGTTTTTATCTGCTGGAAGCTGGGTTTTTGTATTTGTTTTGTTTTTTGGTTTTTTTTTAATTTATATCATATCTTAATTTAGTGTTCTGTTTCTGATGAGCCCTTCAGAAACTGGTTTGAGTCCTGCAGAAAACTGCAGTGACAGTGGCAGTGCTAGGGCAGTAACAATCACATCCCATTAAAATAAGACATTCTGGGCACTGGCTTGGGTTTTGTTTAAGAAGCCACAGATATTGCTAATTTAATTTCTTTCCAACTAAGTATGGTGGCTATATTTCAGACAGGGGAAATCAGTAAGAGCAAAATCGCATTCCAGCTTCTAAATCAGGATATGATTGCTTGAACTAAAATGTTAAGCAGTACCAGTTTAATAAGCTATTTTTCAAGATTCTGCCATTGGAAAGAAACTTTTATGTAGCTCCATGACAGAATGGCATAAATTTCCCACCCTGGGGAAGTTCTCTTCTTCCCCAAACATCATCAGCTCAGGTTTTCAAGTCCCAGCACGAGGTACCTCTGGCAGAACCTGTCCCAGGTACGAATGAGCCTGATTTCTAGCAGTGCTACTGGAATCACAGCCAGAAGGCAATAATGCAATGTGGGCTAAGGACATCTTCAGATCATACAATTTAACAATTCAGTGTGAATTACATGAACTAGAGGCACTCTCTAGGCAGCTGTGCCCAGACTCTGTGCCTCCCTCTAAGGGTGTGACACAGACAGATGCCACCATGCTCTTTACATGCAGGGACCTTTTCAGTCACCATAACTTGACTATGCAGCCAAAACCTCACCATCCAATCAATCAGTAAGTGAGAAAAAAATGTCCATTTCAAACCTTTACATTGCAGAAATAATAATGGAAGAAAACCAAACAAAATATATTTTACTTGATGTAAAAAGATTCCCATAACAACGGAGATAAAAAGTTCACTTTGCTTCCACTGGGTCTTCTGCAGCTTTAAATAAGCAGTTCTACTAGTAGCAACCATCTGATTGGGAATTTCCAACTAAAAATAGTATCAGAATTGTTTTAAGCGGGACCAATTACAAAAATAAACTCTCCAGCAAAGATCACTCAACAGAACAGAAGAGAATGTTATTCAGGTCACTGGTAATAGACCACTTGTACCTTGCTTGGGATAGAAAACTTGGTCTGCTCAGCCTTGCCTGGAGTGTGAATAGCAGTGAGAGGAGGAGGCCAAGAATGGGTCATCTCCTAGGGAAAAAAGAAAAAGTTCAGAAAAAAAATTCATGTACATAGAGAAGAAAGAGAGCTAAAAATGGTCCCATCTGCTCCACTGAGCCTGGAGATGCAATTGCTCAAGGAATCCACCCCACCACCTCACACCCTTGAGTCACAGATGAACACCTAAACAACTCCACAGGCAGGACTCAGAATGAGAGTGAGGACAGGTTTTACTCTTGAAAATTGTGTCCATCCATGTCTCCTGGCTCCACCTCCATGGCCAGTCTGCCAGGCTGTATGAACAGAGCAGGGCTGTACCTGCAAAGCCCAGGCAGGAAGGGGGCCCTCCTGTCCAGCACTGGGTGCAACCCTGCAGGGGAGTGCATGGTGGCAAGATGCAGCTCTATTCAAGACTGCAGAGTGGCAAAAGAAACAAGAGGCAGGTCTGGAAAAATCTGGAATGGGCTTGCAGCATGAATGCCTGGTGTAGCAGAGAGCAGGGACAGCACCACAGCATCTTCTTGTGGCACTGGCCATAGGCTCTTGCTGTGATTAGCAATGTCACAGCCCCAGAGCACTATGGATTCCACTTTAAAATGAGGGACTGAGAAATCAGGTGAATCCAGTGAAACCTGCCTACCAGACCATCTAAGCAAAACCCATCCATTTTCTATATCAGTGTGTTTATTCATCATTTGTACACTCATGTCCCAATTATCTTTAAAGAAACAACCTGGGTGCCCATGCCTCCCAAGCACCAGCAGAAGAGCAACACACACCCACTCCTTCCTGCTGCTGCCCCAGCAAGCCTGACAGGACCATACTGGGGTTTGTGCACATTGGAGCAGGGGCAAAATCACTAAAACCAAGGAACTGCACAAGTGCTGGCTTAGGCAGAGCTTGTAACTGCCCTTCTAATGAGTGTGCTTTATGGAGATACTGCTTCTTTCTTGCTTATCTTTGTTTTTAATTTAATAAATATCCAGAGAGACAGTAATAGTTATCTCTGGCATTCTGTTGCATCTTTGTCTTGGTTGTTTTTTTCCTTGCCTAAAAAGCTCAGAAAGAATTATTTCTTGAGACAAGAGAGGCAAAGAGCAGAAGAGCATCCAATCTCAGAAATGTTATGTACAATGGCCTGACTGCAGTAAACTACACTTCCCAGCTGCTACTACACACTGGTCAAACCCAGGGCTAGTCACAATGAACCTTATAAAGAGACCAGTTTCTGTAGGTAACATGACAACCACTCAAATGAACTACAAATAAAAACATAACATAATGCTATTGATTAAGAAAATATAGGTGGTGCAAAAAGGGCAGTGTGGTGAGTGAATTTTGGCTAAACACATGCCCTGGGTGGCTACAGCTGATACTTATTACAGTTCACTGAAAACAGAGCCAGCAAGTTTCAGAATTATAGTTGTCCCTCCCAAATTATGTGTCATACAGGAGAGAGAAAGGAAAACTCTGCACCATGGTGCTCAGTCAGTGGGACAGGCAGACACGTTGACTTCCTTGGGCAGATGGGCCAGGCTGCACCCCTGCAAGAACTTCTGGGTTCCTGCTGTGGAGCCCAGGGCCAGTTTTCACTAGACAAACCCAAACGGTGGCAATGAGGTGGAAAGGAGCAATTGCTGAATGGCTCATCCCTCCTGGTGTGTGAGGCTGTGGCAGGTCAGAGCACAATTAAATGGCACTGATTTTCTGACCTCTGCACAGGGGAAGGCAGAAAACGATTTCAGCATCCCCTGAACTTTTCTGTGAGATAATATAATCCAAATCCTGCATGCCTTGGCCAAAGCTTTTGCCATGGAGGTTGCTTTGTGGCAAATCTCTTCATAGCAAAATGATGAAACAGAGAATATATCACATAATTAAAAGAGGGCCAAGCATTCTGACTGAAGACAGAAATGAAGAATATTCTAGAACTACAATTATAGGCTTGACCTCAGTCTCTTCCTGCCCACACAGAAAATGCACAGAGAGCCTGGGATCCATGGGGAGGTGATGCCAGCAAACATTTCAGAATATTGCCTGTCAAAACACATATAGTATCCACTGCCTACCTACTTGGCAGGCTGAAGTGTAAGCAAACCTAGTCATGTCCCTATTAGGGGACACGTGAATATAAAACAGTGGGAAAAGGAGCCTGCTATTATTTGAGGAAATTCAACTACAAGGTAAGACATTCTGCCTCCACTGATGTTAAGACTATCCAATCTCTGTGTTTACAGGATGACCTCATGAGCACCAAAACCTCTTACAAAGGTACAACCTAGCTACATGGAAGCATTTCACTTCAATTCTCCCTGCAATGAAAATTATTGGACAGAAAATTCCAGATAGGATCACACATGTGTAACACAAACATTTAAAGCTCATATAAACCATACAAACCAACTGTGTGTGGAAGGAGGGAGAAAGTATATATTTAGCTAAAGAAACAGACCTACATCTACTTACAGACAGGTGCCAGAGCACTGCTGACCAAAGAACCTTGAGTGGTGGTAGAGAAAGTTTTGAGTTCACTCATCTGAAAAATTTCACTTCAACATGTCTGGGCAGCAACCCCACCCTGCCCACCACACAGCTGCATGTTGCAGTCACACAGAGCTGAGCTACAGAAGGACATGCACAAATGGCACTGCACTGTTGTCAGTGAAGGGTCAAAATCCCAACCCCACACCCTGCAGGGATGTGACTGCTTAGCTCACTCCTGCTCCCTTCCTTCAGCACAGACAGGTTACTCTGGAGCATCAGGAGAAAAGATGTCATTTGTTTAATCATCCACATGACTTCACCATTTTTCCTTGTGCTCCAATTTCTTCTGGAGGTCCCTCATCCTTAAGTACTTGCTAAGCTCTATTTTGTTTAGCTTGTGAAATCTGATATATTCACCTTCTAATATGTTAAAACTATAAAGAGCCACACTGCTGGTGTGTGTTGTGTATGCATCCATTAAGATGTGTCTGTAACCACCTCAGTTTGTAAACACCTGGGAAAATAGACAGGGAATTAAATTAGCGTTTTTTTCCAGGAAAAGTTAAAACACTTTAATCAATCCAAATTTGGAAGTATTTAGAAATTCCTGGAAGTAAAAATAATAAAAGCAAGCATATGAAACACTTTAAAGAGGAATTTAATGGAAACAAAGTAATCCCACAAAATTGAGTTAGGATTTATTTTCACATGGTTTGGACTTAAAATAATTCCAAAATCATGTTAACTGTTGGAGTGGGTAGATGACTGCTATAGAAGCATGCATTTTTTTTTACAGACCTGGAGATTAAATGAGAAAGTAAACCTGCACTGTTTCTTGGCTTAAAAGTCACTGTGGTCCTCTGATGTAGTAACATCAAGCATCCTCCTTTCTGAAAATTATTTAAACATTGTTTTAATTGACTCCATGTGTTTTATTTATTAGAGCTAGACATGCTTGTCTCTTCAGCTAAGTCTGGGGTTTTTTTGGCTATAAAAGCCCTCAGGTAAGTAACTAAGAAGGACACATGCAGACACGATCTAATGAATCACCCAAAACACAAATACCCCAAGCAAACCTTCCAAGGGATGCAGAGGTACAAGGCCAAATAATGATTTAAATGGAAGGAGAGGACTGGGGAAGGATTTAAATTTGCAAGTTTTTAAGGAAGAGGTCAGAGAGAGAGAATTGAGTACAGGGGATATGGGGCAGATGGTAAATAGCTTTACAAAACCAGTCCCTAAAATTAATAGCTGCCTTCAAGATTTATTTCCTGTCTCTGTATTTCATTTTTCCATCATTTCCTTCTTGTTCAAAAGAAAGTGTACCATGTTTTTAAGTACAGATAAAAGCACTGAGCCTGGCTCTCTGAGACCATTATGGAAAAAAAGAAGCAGGATTGTGTACTCTGTGTTCCTACTGAGGCAGCTTCCCTTCCTAGTGTGCTCTGAACTGCTTAGCCTGATCTAATTTGAAGTCTCCCAAGATACAGGGCTCATGCTACTTCCCTTGGGAGAACTGAGGGGAGACATGAGAACAGCCTTTAATTACAGAAAGAGCTGTTCCTAAAGGAGAGAATAATCTGTTCTCCAGCTTTATGGAGGATATGAACTTCAACTGCAGCCAGAAAAATTCCAGTTAGAGGTAAGAGAAAGCTCTTAAATGGTAAGGATCCTGGAGCACTGCAACAGATTGCTCAGAGGGCTCCATGGACTCCATCTGTGCAAGAACATCCCTAAGAACAGATAAGTACACATCAGTCAGGCATGGCTTAGGCAGAATTGATTCCTACACTGGGACAGGGATCTGTAGGAGATGATGAGATTTCTAAGACCCTTCCCAGCTCTTTTGTTGTTCTGTAGTTTTGATAGATCAGAACTGGTTTGGCCAAGCCCCACCCTTACTGCTTCTCTTGTGGATACCTCCACAAAAAGGCAGAAACAAAGCTACAATCCCTTTTTTTCTCTTCTGTGGCCACCAAGGCAGTCTCAGGACCAACATTTTCCCACAATATTTTCCCCATCATTAGAGGGCAGCCAGTGGAGCAGGAGGACCATCCCTACACACATCTCTAGCAATAAATTCAGCATGAGGCCACTGCTGCTAAAGAGACCTTACCTGTGATATTCTCTGTCAAATGACCCTCTCTTTAAAATCTTAGCTGACTTTTAGTACTTTTAAATCTTAGCTAAATCTATTGCTTTAAAATTCCTCCAATTTTTGGAGACACAACATGTTAAAGTTGCATTCAGAAAAAAATAATATGTGAAGAATAGATGTTCTGTGGTTATTACAAACTTGATGTTACAGCTGGTGCTAAGCAACCTACTGCCTTGATTGAATAAAGATAGGAATAAATACAGCCAAGTGATTTACTATTTATTAAAGACCCTATTAATGATTTATTAATGTTTTATTAACTATTTATCAATGCAACCCTTGTAAAAAGCCTGTCTTGTTTCACAGCATCTTTCTGGTTTCTGCATTTATACAAAACTGATCAAACTCTCTCTGGTAGGAAGCCAGTAATGTATGAGGGGCAGCCACA